ATCCGTATAATGTTGTGGAAGCGAAAACCCTACTGCTAAAAACAAGAAGAAGAAATAGGAGTTTTTATTTCCTCTTCAATGGGGCAGATCCTTCCATCTTTAAACAGAGAGATCCAAACTACTGTATGGCACTTCACATGTCCCCTGAAAAGCTAGACAAGTGCATGCTAAATCTTTTCTATTTGTGAAGGATTTTTTTTAAAAAAGAGAAATAAGTAAGGCAATATTTCAAGCAGTTTTAACTGAGCAAGTGCCCTCCAAATATGTTCGTGTGTGCTTGCCTTTGAGTCAGTGTTGACTCTTAGCAACTGCCAGGACAAGTCCCTGCAGTTTTCTTGGCAAAATTTGCTATTGGCTGCTTCCTAGGGCTAAGAGAGAGTGTAGCCTAAGGTTACTCATCTGGCACCGTGCCTAAGGCAAGACTATTACTCATGGTCTCCCAGTTTCTAGTCTGATGCCTTAACTACTACATCAAACTTGGTTCTCCAAGTTTGCTATACAGTACTAAAATTCTTAGTACTGTATTCAATTCAACCAACGTTGCAGCTATAATTAAACCCATCTGGAAGACATATGATAAAAGAAACATTTTTGTTATAATAATTGCTTTTGGATTATGCAAATATATGTAGAGATATCATTTTATAAGGTCTCAATTCCTGTGGTAACTATGAAAAAAAACTATTCAAAGGAGAGCAGCAACGTTAAAGAGAATACATACTAAAAGGAATTGGGTATGGTATGTCTAGGTTAATGAAAAAGAAGGACTAAGGGTGATATGATAGCAGGGTTCCAATATCTAAGAGGCTGCCAAAAAGAAGAGGGGATCAATCTATTCTCCAAAGCAATAGAAGGCAGGACAAAAGCAATGGATGGAAACTAATCAAGGAGAGAAGCAACCTAGAACTAAGGAGAAACTTCCTCACAGTTAGAACAATTAATTAGTGGAATGACTTGCCTCCAAAAATTGTGGGTGTTCCAATACTGGAGGTTTTTAAGAAGAGATTGGACAACCATTTGTCTGAAATGGTATAGGGTTTCCTGCCTGAAGACCTCCAAGGTCCCTTTCAATTCTGTTATTCTGAAAAGAAGCAAGTTTTTAAAATATAGGGATGCATTTTAGTCGCTAAGAATTTTATTATCTTTATCATTAACATCTTGCCACAGCTGCATATCTTTTTAAATTATTTGAATGATTAGTATTAATTTTAGTATTGAGAGCTAGCTTGGTGTGGTGGTTAAGTTCTTAAACTAAAAACTGGGAGGTTATGAGTTCTAGTCTTCTTAGGGTTGAAAGCTGGCTGGGTGACTTTGAGCCATTCACACTCTTTCAACCCAGCCCACCTCACAAGGTGGTTACTGTAGGAAAAATATGATGTGGGTTGTGAGTTGCTGAGTTCTACAGCATAAAGGTAGGATATAAATATAACAGTTGATTCCAAAATGCTTTCAGCAAATTATTTATTTACTACTACTACTACTACTACTACTACTACTACTACTACTACTACTATTCTATAAGACAGTTGATGATTTGAGAAAACAAAAGATAGATGTTTTCACTAATGACTTCTGTACGGCAGGTAAAAAAATCTGCAAGATGGCAACCATGAAGTTCAACCCAATCCCTACCTCTTTTATGTATCCCCACCATCTTGAGATTTTGACCTGCACTCTTTATGCTGACACTTTTGACTATCTTTACAGCAGTGGTTCTCAACCTTTTTAATGTCGCGACCCCCAACCGGTCGTAAGTCGAGGACTACTCAACCGGTCGTAAGTCAAGGACTACTCAATTGGTGCAGCACCGTTTGCAGAATGGGACTTTTGGCAGGCTCAGCAGGGCAGAGACAGCCTGGACAATTCCTATTGGCTTTTGAAAGCCAATAGAATTAGAGTCTATTCAATAGAATAAAAGGGAGTAGCACTGCTAAGGAAAAGGGGGAAAAAATGGCGGACTGCGTTGTTTGATGACCCCCGTGAAATGGTCGTTCGACCCCAAATGGGGTCCTGACCCACAGGCTGAGAACCACTGCTTTACAGGGAATATGCCCGGTATTAAGACTCAGAATCAGTCAAGGGCAAGTTTAGTTTCTGTCCACAGAGAGAGTAACTAAACCAGTCTAGAAAGCCCTCCAGCTGCCTAGCACTTGTTTGCTTACTTACAAACACAGTAAAATTTAATTTCTAGTTCAGCTTTAAACCAATCTAAATTGGTGGCTTCTCTCCCAAGGTGCTAAATAGCATAGTTCATTCCTGGAACCTTCTAGGAATGGATTATACAGTTTTCCACATCATTAGCTTTCATTATATCTAGCTATAATGAGTTCTAAATGCTGAGTGAATTAGAAATCCCAGCTTTGTTAGATGAATGTATGCTCTGATATTAAGTTGTGCCACATCATTCATTATTTTATGGAACTGTAATTTTTTTTTCTCTAATTGATGTTAACATTGTTCTGCAGTTTTATCATTCTGCTTATTTTCTCAGGTTCCTCTATTCTAAACATCCCTTTTGTGGCACAGTGATCAGAACCATATACAATATTCCAACAGAGGTTGTATCATGCATTTATATTATACTGGCAGTTTTATCTCCAATTCCTTTCTTCATGATCATCAACATAAAGGAATTTATCTTTCCACCACAAATATATACTGGGTCAACATTTTTGTTAAACATTAAACCACAACTCAGCCACAGCAGCAGCACTTCAGATTCCCATCAATTCACTAAAATGGATCATCAGTGAAAATCAGAATTTTTCACTTTCTATTTTTTTTACATTGAATAACTTTTTCTATCTCTGTTCTCAATTCCCAAGTTGGAGAGAGACTTTTGATGCTCCCTCACCATTTCTTTCTGTTTTAAGCACTCTAAATGATTTGGTATCATCAGCAAGCTTGATAATTTCACTGCTCACTTTTAGCCATGTATGAAAAAATAAATAAATATTCTTGTGGAATATCTCTGCAATGCCTCAAATAGCAAGCTCCATGGAGAAAGAAAATGGCTCTATGTATCTCCTTTCTTTTGCTCAAAAGTTTCCTTAATAGGGAATTATGTCCAGCCCGTACTAACAGAGAAAAGCATTCCAATCCTTGATGTAAACCACTCAGAGTTTCCCTTTGATTTGAAGTGTAAATAGTGTCTTTTATAAAAAGAGCTTTTTATAAATGGCCCAGTGCCACTCCACCATCATTATTCATGGCCTTGTAGCTGCACATGGAAGTTATTCAAAGCAGCAGAGCATCCTCTGCAATAATATGGATACGGTTTTGTTCTTTCCACAAATGTGCTCAACTCCTAAGTATTTTTTTAAACTCAGCCCATCTTTACATTACAGTGTTGTTTCAATATAGATCAAAACCAAGATAACATAGAACAGGCACCAGAGGCCCAATTTCAAGGCCAAAAAAACAGATGGAGCAAAGAGATATTCAAATGGGTCTTCTGTAGTAGAGTATTTTTTTTCTGCTTGTAAAGCTAGATTTATTTTGTTTGATCAATACAGAAAAACTGTCCATTGTGTCTTGTTTAAAACAAGCTATACAGTGTGATATGCCAATGTTGTAAGTAGGATGCTATGGGGTAGGGAGTAGAGCGCTCTGCATAAATCTCCTTTAAGCTGCAGTTCCACACAGCCAAATATGTCTTTGGTTCCAATGATTTGTTGCATTAATCTGACCAAACTCTTTCATAGGCTTATTCCTGCAGTTTTAACAAAAGGGGCCTGGAAGGTTGCTAGAATTTGCCACCAATGTTGCAACCCCAGGAGCTCGTGCTTAGACATGCCATGCAGCCTGTAAGATCCAGTTGATCTCTCTGTAAATACACTGATTCTTGTGGTCATTAAACAATCCATGTATTGTGTTCAAGCCAGGAATGAATGAAAAAGAATTTGAATACGGATCAAAGCGCTATCCTTAGCAGAAATTAATGCTAATAGAAATGAAGTTGCTATTTTAGTGTCTTAATTGGTTTTTAATGGGATGAAGGGTTATATTTATTACCTGATCTTTCTTTTAATATACTGCCCAGAGATACGTTGTCCAAGTTGAGCAGCCATATAAATGTTCCAATTAAAGACAACATTTGTTCTTCCCCAGAAAAACATATATGATACGCATAGAGATTATACTTGTTTTATAATGCAAACTACAAATCTTTTCTATTTCCTCTTTAACCTTTAAGATGTTTTGGTGTGTTTAAAACTATGCCAGCCCTTTGCACATTATAGGGATCTTCTCTAGCCATGTTGGATCAGCCATGAGATCATTCAATATAGTATTCTTATGGTTACTCCAAGAAGTCTGAGGGAGGCAGGGATGGTCTCATAGAAGCAAATTAAGCTCTTTACGGTTAAATATTCTCTTCATCCAGATCTGTCCATGCTGGCTGGGGAATCTAGAAGCTGAATTCTACATAAGCTAAAATTGCCAAGATGAGAAACAGTGATATAAACTGATGCCATGAAGAGTACAATTGCACACCTCTGTTTAGTTCAAAATTTTATTTGAAACAATACTCTACTAAGATCTTTATTTAAAACATTGGAAAAAATGCTGCTAGTAAGAGGAGATAATAAAGAGTCAAGATTTGCCTTGGCAGAAAACTAAATAATTTGAAATGTTGGTTTGTTTTCTTCAAAAGCCCTTTCCCCCCTATATAAAATACATCTTGACCTGGATGTAGGCATGAGGCTGAGTTATAATACAAGACATACAGATTTTTCATCTATTATCTTTCCAAATTTCTCTATCACTATTTATGAGAGACATATTAAACATTCTGGATGCAAAATGCTTTCTTTCCTTTCCTAGGTGCAGATAGTTAATTTCTGGAAAAATTATATTTTCTGCAGATCTCTAAGTTGAAGCCACTACAATTGGAAGTTCAGTTTAATGAGTGTTTTAGTTTTGATCAACAATTGCAAATAGAATTGGGTGTTGTTTCTACTTTTACAGCCACCCAAAAATTCCAAGTTCATGATCCTTACCTAGAAGCTGCAATCTCAGATTTCTGTCTGGCGATGGCTGCTGCTCTCTGAGCACCTTCTATACTCCGGTCCACTTTCTGTCTTATCTTTGCACTTTTTAGAGGTATCACCCGTTTCTTCATGCCTCTGATCAATACATTCATGCGATATTTTCCTTCTTCCTTCTTCCCATCAGGCAATGTGGTACAACCATATCCATGCCGCACATTATCCAGCCATTCGCCCTCATACTTCAGGCCACTTGATCGCTCACTTATGCCAAACCCTGAACGCTTGTCATTCTTCCACTCTCCCATGTAGGATTCTGTGGTGGTGGCATCAATATCAGCATCAAAAGGTGGGAAGTCCTCTCCTTCCACTCCTTCTCCCAGGCTGGCAGTGGAGGCAGCATCACTACCTGTAGAGCTCATCCCACTCTCACTCTTAAGGAAACTGAGTCGACTCCTTTGGCTGGACAAAGAGGTCTTGGAGTCAGATTTCTTGAGTTTCCCGAACAAGGAGCTCCGCCTGAAGAGTCCCCCCTTCTTTAATTTGCCAGCATCAGCATCTGCATACAAGCTGAGAGCAAAGCCACCCCGAGTTATGGTAGGTGACATGGGAACGTGTTCCTGGTTTGCTGATGGCAAATCATGTTGTAGCAGTGTGCCATTGCTATGCTCACTCCGTAGGGATGTAAGGGAGGTTCTTAGAGGGTTGCGGACCACAGCTGCAATACCGTATGGGACACTTTGACGGACTCCATAACCATGGCGCATGCCATTGGTGAACTGGCCTTGATAGGTACCTGGAATCAAAAGTAAGAACTAATCAAATACATCAAATTTCTCTGGAATGCATATGAAAGCATATATACTCAGGCAGCCACAGCCTCTTCTCCGTCTTCTCATATAAATAGTTCCTTATTGCAGGATAACAAGAAGAGAGCTGTACCTTCTTCCCAGTCAGCAAATACAACTTTTCCATCCCCTCTAAGATTAAAGCCAGCATCGGTACGCTGCTTCTGCTGAGGGTGATATTCATTGAAGGCATACATAAAAGCACATCACTCATCAGGACAAGGTTTACAAATCTAGTAAATAGGTGGTGATTGTTCTAATCCTTTGCTGTTTTTTAAAGAATATAAGCATAAAACAGTTTGATTTCCTAGTAAACATTGAAATTATCTAACTAAAATCTTCAGTATTAAATAATACTCCAACTTAAATAGATTTACTATCCAACATGGCAAATATGGATCATGGGGAGAATAAAGTGCATTGGCAATTTCTCTTCATGCGTTTACATTTATTCAAGCTTGTACACTAGGACTAAAATAGAGTTGTATTCCATTTAGATAATTTGTTTCTAAAGCCCAGAAAAAAGGGAAATCATCATGAAATAGGAACTTTTTGAAAGTAAACCATATCAAAATAAAATAATATTTTATGACATACACACAATATTACTTGCTTTTCATTTGCAATATTATATGGAAGGAAAGGGAAACGTTTCATTTAATTAGTTTGTCTTCTGAATTAAAAAAAATGAATATTACTAATTTTTATTACATGGGAATAAAGTGGGATACAAATAAATAAATTCTAAAGTTCATTTCTGATATCACAAAGAAAAGAATGCTAGCTCCTACTTATTGCCGTTGTTTACTTATGGCCAACTAGAGCTTTTAGGAAGTCCACAAGTAGAACATTAGAACAGTGTGCATTGCACGCTACCCAAAATTAATATTCATAAATATAGTATTATCTCTGAACATGAATTTTCTATTTACTCATAGCAGATAATGGTCTAATCCACCGCATCTTGGGGCAGTAAATACCACAATTTAAATAATTAGTGAAAAGAAGACATGGAGGAAGCATGGGGAGATGGGGACCATGGAGAACAACCTTCTCAGTTTGTGCAATTCCAAGAGTCACTGTTCAAGCAGGTGGCTCAATGCATTGTCACCCAGATTGCAGAATGGATTTTACACTTCTGGAGCAACTATTCACCAATTTTGGCACACTCTATAGCATTTCGAAGGAAAATTTGGAGTAAGATGAGGAGCACTAGGGTTTCTTTTTTTCATGCCCCAGTCTATGCAAGGCATTTGCATAAGTGCCAGCACCTCTGACATTACACCAAATGAACAAAAGTACTATAAGAAGAGCTAAACTAGGAATATAGATCTTTGTTTTGTCCTGTACAGATAAGAAGGCATAAGGGGCAGGCATTTAATAATGAAATGGAATCCTTCACATAAACCCTTCTCCTGACATAATTTGGTTTACCTGGCTAAGTGGTGCTGGATCTAGCCCTTAGAATAAATCCAGTTCTTCATTTAGAACAAATGCACTCTCTAAAGAACTTTAAATTATCCCTACTCTATGCTTTACCTAAGCCTGTCTGAATTAAAACACTTTGGACACAGATTGCAAGATTTTCAGGCCAGAATATGAGTAACAGTGTCCTTCCATTAGACCAGTGCTTCTCAACCTTAATAATTTTTAGATGAATGGACTTCAACTCCCAGGATTCCCAACCCAGACATTCTTCTGGGAGTTAATTTTACTCATTTTAAAGTTGCTAAGGTTGAGAAATACTGCATTAGACAATTCCCTCACTGCTGTGTCCTTCTACTTTTCTCTTCCAAGAAAATGATAACCAATCTTCCTATGGGAAGGTTTTATTTAATAATAATAATAATAATAATAATAATAACAACAACAATAATAATAAAGTTAGAAGGGACCTTGGAGGTCATCTAGTCCAACCCCCTGCTTAGGCAGGAAACCCCATACCATTACAGACAAATGGATGTCCAGTCTCTTCTTAAAAACTTCCAGTGTTGGAGCATTCACAACTTCTGGAGGCAGGCTGTTCCACTGATTAATTGTTCTAATTGTCAGGAAATTTCTCCTTAGTTCAAGTTGCTTCTTTCTATGGTTAGTTTCCATCCGTTGCTTCTTGTCCTGCCTTCAGGTACTTTGGAGAATAGCTTGACTCCCTCTTCTTTGTGGCAACCCCTGAGATATTGGAATACTGCTATCATGTCACCCCTCGTCCTTTTCTTCATTAGACTAGACATACCCAATTCCAGCAACTGTTCCTTATATGTTTTAGCTTCCAGTCCCCTAATCATCTTTGTGGCTCTTCTCTGTACTCTTTCTAGATTGTCAACATCTTTTTTACTTTGTGGTGACCAAACTTAAACATATTTATACTTAAAGTGTGTGTGGGGGGGTGCTTGGGTGTGTGTGTGTCTGTCTGTATGTATGTCAGCATGGTTTTATATAGAAAGAGATAGTCACATACATTACATTGAAATAATAGAAAGAAACAAAATATCAAATATAGTCAAAACAGTTTTAAAATTACCTTCTTTGCATATCATTCCATTGTAATAGTTTCTGTACCTCCTTTTACTAGCACTGCTGAAATATGGTATTGGTTAAGATTTCAGTTTAGTAGAGAGAAGGTTATTAGTTCAAAACTTGACAGATTTTTTTTTAACATTACCGTTTTTATTTTACATTATTATTTTACTTTCCTTGTGTAGCTAGTTTTCCCTTGGACTTTAAAAAAAAATTCAGGGGAAAATTAGCTGCTCAAAAACATAGAATTAAAAATATTCTGCTGACTTTAAATCACCAGTTTTCTTTTAAGTTAAAGATTGCAACCACTTCATTATTTCAGCAAAAGAGGAAAAAGGAGACACAGAATTGGAAGCATTAGCTCAGCTGAATAAGCCACTCTTCTGCAGAGCAGTCGATAAATAGCTGAATCCCTTCAAGTGAAGTGCTCTGGCTCAAATGAACAAAATATGAAAAAGAGTATTTTGGAAGTGGAAGAGAGAAACATGTTCTGAAATTAATTTGAAGGTGAATGGGGGATTAATTAATGGACATCATCTATTTTTGCCCTCCAGAAACAGTTGCTTTTCTATTATAATGACAGGGCAACCTGGCAGTACAAATAACCTCTAAGACAGTGGTTCTGCCCTGCTGAGCCCGCCAAAAGTCCCATTCTGCAAACGGTGCTGCAAGTTGTCTGCAGCGAAGGTGAGCTGTCTGGAAGTTTCCGCCCCTCCCTGCTGAGCAACTACTAAAAATGTAAGTAAAAGAGGGCCAGGGGTGGGAGGTGGGAGGCCGGCGGGTGCAGGGAGGGTTGCTGGCATGCGTGGGGCCCGGCGGGTGCCTTACCTCCCTTGGGCTGGGCCAGCTGGTGGCCCAGCTGGTGGTCGGCCTGCGCCGTCCCTGCCGCTTGCCAGCTATGCCTCGGCCAGCGCAGGGGACATCACCACGCATGCGCGGCGCTCCCAGGCAGGGAAAGTCCTCGACTTATGACCAGTTGGGTAGTCCTCAACTTACGACCGGTTGGGTAGTCCTCGACTTACGACCAGTTGGGGGTTGCGGCATTAAAAAGGTTGAGAACCACTGCTCTAAGAGTTTAGTCATATATACAGGAAGCAACCCCTTTATGGATTACTGCCTTGTCGTAGCGAAGGGGCTTGCATAACTCAATGAAGCTATAAGCTATGCCGTGCAGGGCCACCCAAGACGGACAGGTTATAGCAGAGAGTTCTGACAAAATGTGATCCACTGGAGAAGGAAATGGCAAACCACTCCAGTATCTTTGCCATGAAAACCCCATGGACAGTACTAAAAAGCAAAAAGATATGACGCTGGAAGATTAGCCCCTCAGGTCGGAAGGTGTCCAATATGCTACTGGGGAAGAGCAGAGGGCTAGTACTAGTAGTGCCAGAAAGAATGAAGCGACTGGGCCAAAGCCGAAAGGACGCTCAGCTGTGGATATATCTGGTGGTGAAAGGAAAGTCCGATGCTGTAAAGATTTTTTCTCCATAGGAAACTGGAATGTAAGATCCATGAATCAAGGCAAGCTAGAGTAGTCAAAAAGAAAATGACAAAGACTGAAAATCGCCTCTAGGATCAGCGAAAAAAGGGACAGGAATGGTGAATGTGAAAACAGATGACCAAAGGTAGCTACTGTGGGCAAGATCCCTCAGAAGAAAGTGGAGTACTTATCATTAATGTCAACTAAAAGGACTCAGGAAAAGCAACTACTGGGATACAACCCCAAAATGACAGAATGATTCCAAGTCGAATCAAGCAAACAATTAAATATCACAAAGTCCAATCTATGCCCCAACCACTGGTGCTGTTTCCTGAAGAGGATGAAATGAACGTCTATGAAATGCCATACAGCACCTTATAGGAATTAACAACCAAAAAATTGATCTTCCTTATAACATGGGGGATTGGAATCTTAAGGTAGGAATCCAAAAAGATACCGGAATAACAGGCAAGTTTGACCTTGGAGTACAAAATGAAGCAGGGCACAGGCTAATAGAATTTTGTCAAGAGAATACGATGGTCATAACAAACACTCTTTTCCAACAACCCAAGAGACGGCTCTACACATGGACATCACCAGGCGGTGGTGAAATCAGATTGACTATGTGCTCTGCAGCCAAAGATGGAGAAGCTCTATACAGTCAGTAAAAACAAGACCAGGAGCTGACTGTGGCTCAGATCATGAGCTTCTCGTTGCAAAATTTAGGCTTAAATTGAAAGTAGTAGTAGCACTAGGCCACTCAGGTATGAACTAAATCATATTCCTGATGCTGATGAATATACAGTAGAGGTGACAAATAGATTTAAGGAACTGGATCTGATAGACAGAGTGCCTGAAGAACTATGGATGGAAGTTCGCAACATTGTACAAGAGGTAGCAACTAAAAACCATCCCAAAGAAAAAGAAATGCAAGAAAGCAAAATGGCTGTC